CCCCCCCCCCCATCCCTCCCCGGCCATGAAGAACAACTGGTTCCTAAATTAGGAACAAACTTTACCGATCACGCGTGGTCAATAACATATATTTACACCATCAAGATTTCCTTTGACAACTATCCTCCCACTTGTCTAGAAAAAAATTTCGTTAGATACACACGTCAACACCTGTCAAAAAAAACATTAGCTGTAGATTGACCTAAACCCTTTAGGATTTAATTTATTAACAACGGTTCCTAACATCTCACCTAGGGCCCCGACCACGCTAATGCGTTTTCAAAAGTGATGGTTTTCGTCTCAAATGAAATCAAGCAAAGTGTTTTCACCCACGAAAACATTACTGTCTTGCTAATGTTTAAAATTTCTCCCCACGCTGATGCGTCTTCGTTTGAAAACTTATAATGTGTTCTCGTCCACGCTAAAATACCCGTAAACGCAAATGAAAGTGACAGTATTTGCCACATATTTCGTCAATGTTTTTAAAAGCCTCATTTTTCACTTGTCGACATATGAAAGAGAACTTTTTAAAAGCACAACGTTTTCAAAACACTTCACTTTTCAACCAATTTTGAAAGTATCCGTTTTCATCCGCGTTTTCAGGCGTTTTTGCATATGAAGTAAGAAAAAATAGGATGAAAAGGCTTTTTTCGTAAATGCTAAATAAATAAACTATTTTTGGCAAATTTTTCTTCGACAGTTTTTCTCTTGAAATGAAAGTGTCCCTGTACAAGAACTGGCATCCAAGATCTAGAGTTAGTAAATCCAACCTTTACACAAATCAATAACAGAAGAAAAGAAACAATAAAATGTCTCTTAATAAACTGATTTCGCGACGTGATAGAAGCGGATGATGTCATGCAAACATTACAAACAAATCCATTGCATTGATGTCTTTTTTTGCCGCATTGCTAATTGATTGTCTTTCACAACAAGTGAATTAAGATATTTGCATAATAAGATTACTTGCGTGTTCAATTAATTTCATCGGAAGCGAAGGCGATATACGTCAGATCTTATATAACTACGTATGCTTTATATATAATTTTTAGCGGCCATTCGTTCTACAGTCTTAATTCACAGAAAAGATGCTGGAGTTACATGGTAAATATGATGCTTTTGTTAAAGCTTTTTTCATATAAAAAGCACGTTCTACCTTTAAAAAAGCCGATTTCCTTTCCACGAAGCTTATCACGCTTTTTGAAAATGAAAACACAACGAGATTTTCCTGGCAGGTCCGCTGCGGTCCAAAGATTGATCATTTTCTTTTTTTCCTTTTTTCCTTTTAACAAAGGCACTTGTCAAAGGTAAAACGTGCAAAGAACAAAATCAATTTTTCTTGAATGAAGCTTTAAAAAGTCACGAATCAACGAAGTTATAACAGGTTCAAGGAGGAATTCCGTTTTGGGAAGTCCTGCTTGACAACCGTTGTTTACAAGTTTCCTTTGGTGATGTATGTAGCGAAAGAGTTTCCTTTCCACTCACCACGACTGTGGAAACTTGCCAGATTTAATACTATTTGAAAGAAATTCCAATTTTTACCCTCATCATAGAAAACATCAAGACAATTTGATTGTTTTCGTGGAAATTTCTAAAGTCTTCGTGAGAAAACAAAATCCTTGCATAAATTTAAATTAGAAATTTCTGTTTTCACACATAAGACACCACGGGGAACATTATAAGCAAAAACATGTAATAACTTCAATTTTTGACTTATTGCAGATTAAAGTAAGATTGCTCTTGCACAGGAGCTGAACGTCCTAAGAATTCATAATAATTTAGTGATATGAAATATCAGGAAAAACTTGTCAGAGTGTGTGTTCAAATTTTGGTTTTGCTTGTGTCGCCAATGGCTGTTGTAAAATTATGAATTGCAGTTTTTGAAGTTAATATATTAGGCCCAATTTGTCAGATTAAGCGGAAAGGATCCTTGTTTTTCTATACTCAGTAGTTGTATAATTAATTGCTTTCAATTAGATTTCCTATTGTGGACATTTTTATTCTGTTAAGGACTTTGCAGTTGCCAGGTTAAATCTTCAGTGAAATCACGTGTTTCTCAGAACATAGATTGGCCGCATTTCAAGGGGTTGCGTGCGAATTAAATGAGATGTCGAGCCACACTTGTCAAGATCAGTTCACATAAATATGTTAGGTTATTATTTCCATTTTATGAGTTTTCACAACTTGGTAAATATTTCGCTCAACAGAGTCGTGTTGAAAAACAAAAATAGTTCACAAACAAATCTTTATTAGATTTTGTCTAAGCCGAGAATTTAGATATGTGAGGTTGCACTAAACAGTTCAAGAATAGATGGTAGGTTTAAAATACTTTTCTTTCGTTATTTTTGCACATATTTCCGTGTAAAATATTATAATAATTTACTCGACAATGTTGATTTGTAAAAAATACTCACAAATTTTCAATCTCTACTGTCAAGTTTCTCAAAACCGAGATTTTCTCATAGTGCATTTACATCGCACGTGTAAAGTATGGATTATTTTATTTGATGGATACGTACACGTGAACCGTAAGAAATCTTCCGATTCCCGTCCTTTTTTTAATTAATCCTCCCAATCATAGCAGTCTAGCTTTTTGATTCAGACTTAAAAACAAGGATAATAGATTCACTTATTTCGTGCGTCAAGCTAAATTATGTTTAAAAGGATGTATTTTTGGGAAATTGACCAAAATTAGAGTCAGTCATTTGAATTCATTATTAAGCTACAAAAAGGCCTTTAGTCATTCCCAATTACTGCAACATTCAGAATTTTTTTTCGATTTAAAGAACCCATATTGGCTTGAATATAAAATGCAAGAAATTCTGCCTTCACAGAGGCCACCTGCAACATGTTGTCATGACAACCGTTTGTTAAAAATCACTTCACTTTTTCACGCCCTATGTTAAACAAAATTGACCAATCATTTAAAATTATTTTACCACATTGTACTAAAAGAGGTAAGACCGCATGCGAATGCCAAGGATAAATTTTAACTGTAAGTAACATATTAATTTGCAACGAGCTTAAAAATACGGTCGAAAGGACATTGGTAGAAATTGCAAAATTTTGCTATTCAAATACGACACTTGAGCTGTGAGTATCATTTCTCTGTTAAAACAAGAGCTCATTACAGTCTTGCGAAAGGGTAATTGCAATCATGACCACAGTAGTTTGAGAACAGTAATCTGGAAAATCCCAAGCTATAGCTATAACAGTATACATAAAAATTTATCCTTCCAATGAAAACCCAAAGAATACTTTTTTGTAGCGTTTTGAGCTGTTATCAATTTGTCGGGCTTTACAACGTAACAACATAATGCGTTAATGGACTGGTAAGTCTAACTAAAAGAGGATTTTAAAGGGATTCAGCGCGTTAGGCTTGTTGCTCTTTCCTGTTGGTTAGAATCATTTTATTTACTCTTATAATACCAATTTAAAACTGGTACGTACTGTAAACATGTTTTAAAAAAACAATTTTTTATTTGAATTTAGCAATGACCAGATAATACGCTCTAAATTGCGCGGTTTAAATACATTGGTGGTCGTAAAAGTTTCCTCGAGTGTTCTTATATCGCTTAGCAACCACAAATACGCTTTACTTTCAACGATTTATACAGGTTAATTGAGGTTTTGTGTAATCAACTCTTCACTTTCAAACTAGCCCGTCAGTGCGCGCGAAAAGCACCATTCACTTGCGTCGTATATACTTTGTAAATACGTTGTTTGGTTTTTTATCTCGAGAGTGGGAGAAAGGTGAGCATCGGCACACAAAGGCTGGAATTGGATTCCCGTGAGGGAAATAACCTTTTCTCTCTCTGTCCCACGCTTGTGAGAAAAAAAGATAAAAAAATGAAAAAAATAAAAACTATATCGATATAATCCTTTAAATCCCATGAATGACCAAGACAGAGTTTCTCCTTACAATATCAATACAATATCAACCAGATAAGTGATGAGAATGAAGAAAAATATCAATTTGGAGATATTTAGTTGATCCAACACAAAATTCTCTAAACTAACATTATAAGAACTGTATGGTTGACAGTAAGGAGAATTAAAAATTTCATCTGGAAATTAAAGGGTTAAGGATCAAAGCGACATACCCATGAGTGGTTAATCTCAACACAAAGTAATCTCATATTAACATTTATCATTTTTACTGCATCGTTAACCCTTAAACTCCGGAGATCTCATTAGTAATTCTCCTTACTGTCTGCCATACAGTCCTTGTAATGTTTGTTTGAGGAATTTGGTATTGGATCAAGTAATAACCCCCTAATTAAGATTTGTCTTTATTCTCATCACTTATCTGCTTGATATTGTAATAATATTGTAGGGAGAAATTCTGTCTTGGTCACTAACTGGAGTTAAAGGGTTCAGTAACAGCATATGACAGAGGTGACCAATATTTCGCCAGCACCGAGAGTAACAAGTTACTACACCAAGTACTATTCACCTCCCGGCCGCCTATGAGACAAAATCGTTCGTCAAGAATTTAATTTCCAACCATTTTTCGTTATATTTAAAGGGATAAACTTAGTTTTTTTGGTATCTCTGTGGTATATGATATGCTAAAACAATGATTCACCTTGCAGTGTCGGTGAAAGTGGTAAACATTTACCTCCACATTAGTGAATGTTTATTAATTGTTCCATAGACGGGGCTCTAAATTCTTCATCTCCCTATAAAACTGATATAGATTTCGTTGTAATCGTGCCCCAAATATAAAAAAAATTCCTGGTCCTCACGGAACGTATGTCTATTTTTGACAAAATGAAATCATATCTACCGTTGACACATTGCACCTCCACTGCTAATGCAATGCTCATTTTTTAAGTTAGTGATTCCTCGTTTAAATTGTGTGCCATTGCTAAATTGGAAGGTGATGGCATAAATAAAACAGATTGAGCGAAGGAACACGAATTTGAAATGATAAATTTGGGAATTACAGGAAACTGAGGAAACGTTCACAAACGCAAGGTTAGGTCCTACATGAAGTGGCCTGTGTAGCTACCAGTGATTTTGCATAAGCTTATTCCGAACGGTTTGGTGAAGAGAAAACCTTCTCGTGGTTTCACTTCGTTTTCCCATCCTTTTCACGACTCCGATGCGTGAAAGATGTTTGAAAGCGCACCATAAAAAAACGCTAGCTACGTGGGTTTAAGTAATGTAATTGTTAAGTAATGTATGTAACTCCTAATAGCGGAGCTCGCAGAGCGTAGCCCCATTATTATATATGCATGAAAGTTAGGAGCACAGTTTCCAAGAACTAAACTCAGTATGATCCAAACTGTGACACCGACATTCCAATTACGCAAAGTAGGAGTGTCAGGTTTAAGTTCAATCTTCATTTGAAATTACAGCAAAAGCTTCACCAATCTAACTCTCTCAATGACGTCCCCCGCTCCACTAATTGCTTGAAACTTATTTGAATTTTATATTTAAACATCCCTTCCTTTCAGATATTGAATGACAAATGAGGCTGTCCGATGGGTTGTTCGGCCTCGCTTCATCATCGTGTCGCTTCACGACATCTGCCATCGGCGAGAGTGAAGACAATCGCTGTTCCTTTATCAGCCGATACGAAAAATACGCTGAGAGAATCGTGGAATCTTGTGGAGCCTGTTAAAGCCGAGGCTGGAAAATTGATGTTTGTGAGGTAGGTCAAATTTCAATATAAAAATATCGTCATTGGCTACGAATTAAGCATACAGCACGGAATCAAGATGTGATGAAACATATTAAATTTCATTTTCCATCGATATTTGAAGTAAATTTTCGTAAACTTTTAGTTTATGAAATATCTTCCTGAGGTTATATTCATTTTGATTCTGTTTCATCTTTGTTTTGCTTTAATGTGTCGTGTTTAGACTTTTTGATCTTACTCCCACAGAGTAAGAATTTTCATTAAAGAACTCAAAATTTATCTTCATACGTAAGGGATTAGATTTAAGGGATCGGTTTTCGTCATCAACATAGCATTAATTTGTTGAATTTGAGGTAATCTTTCTTGTGCACAAGTTTCAATAAAATTATTGGGCTACCTGTCATTTAAAATGGGGAAAAATGCTCTAGTAACGTCAAATTAAAAATATTTTGCGTCGAAAATGGAATCCGATGTTTAAGGACAAATTAACATATCATGACTTTAACACTAATGATAGTAAGTGTAGTGCAATTCTTGATATAACAATTAAGCAAAAGTTTACACTTCGCAAGATTTCTTGGTAGTGCACCGTGGGGAAGTAACCGGTCAGTTGTTGAAAATAAGACAGTAGAAGAGCCAAAACGATCCCGTTAAATACATTTTGAGTGTATGGCCAGTTTAAATTTAGCTTTCGTGATGATCTTTACTTTCTGGTTTGTGCAGCTGATGAATGTGAAACAAAACAACTCGGAGGAAAAAGAAAGGAAAACTTCACATGTACAATAGTGTCCCTACAGAGAGATGATGACTATTTTGGCGTGAGAGATTTCAACAAATATTTAAAACCAATCAGTCAGTCATTTGTTGAATGCTCAGAAGTTTAGCTAAGATTTTTTTCATGTTTATCTTCTGAAAAATCACTCAATTCCTTTAAGATTTTTGTTGCTTCTGAGGTTTTCCTGCCCCAGAAAACCCTTATTTTGATGTTTTATTTGATCTGAAGCAGTTACAAAAGTTAGTTGTTTGATTTTTTATGATTATCAAACATCTAAACGTCTAAGACGTGAAAAAGGCGTCAGCTCCGACGAGCCGGGGTTTCTATTTCTCAGTATCTTCATGCGAAGGGGGTCTGACGGCTCAATGACGAAGATTACCTTTTCTAAAAACTATCGTGATCCAGCTCATTAACCCTCCGTCTTCCAAGATCTGATTACCAATTCTCCTCTCTACCTGCTTCCCATTTCCCTATAAATTAGTTACGAGAATTTGGTGTCGGATGAAGATAACAACCTCTACCTGATGAGTTTGGGTATTCTCATTACCTGTTTGCTGTATAATGTAAGTGGATGTTCTAGGGAGAAGTTAGATGTTTATCATCTCTGAGAGTTCAAGGGTTAACCATTTAATTTACCATGCATATTAATTCTCAGGCTTTTTGAGACACATCCAAACATCCAGGACACGTTTCCGACATTCAAAGGCGTCAGCTTAGACGAACTGATGAACTCTCGGTCTTTGTATCTCCATGCCAAGCGAGTTATGACTGCTGTTGAGAATGCTATCAATGCATTAGATGATGGTGAAGTCTTAACTGAGAGTCTCACAAGCCTGGGACAAAGACATCAGGCTTGGTCTGTTACGGAAGACCACTTTGCGGTAAATTATCAATTCAGGGAAACGGTTAAAATGTGTGCAATTCGACTAAGTGTCCTGAATCGCAGAACCGGAGAAATTCTAAGTAAAGAAGAAACAAACTGTTTGAAGCTTGCGAGAACGCACTAGCTTGCAGAGCTGGCGTAATTTTGGCGAGCGAGTGCTTAGTATTTTCTTAACGAAAATTATAGCCGCCATCTTTGATTTTAATGGCAGTGAAAGGCTGGGGAGAGAAGGAAATTTGTACCAAGGGGGCGCTCGTCGGAATTTAAGGAGAGGGGTAGGGTTGGGGAAGTGAATAAGTACGCGCGCATTTGGATTGATTCTTACTTATGGTCTATTACAGTAGATGACGTCATTATTAACAACATTTTGCTTTGCTATAGTTTTAAATAAAGAGATTCCATGCCACCTCAGGTCTGTACAGTAACAAATTATAGGAGACGTCAAAATGTGTTACGAACATCAGTGGCATACTCGACTGTGTCTAGTGTGCCACTTTTGGTTTTTACCACGTTTTAACTTCATCTGTGATCTGTTACTCCACAGACGCGCGGCAACAAGGAATCCATTTGTCAACTGTTTTTTCGATTGGTCGAATAACAGGCAAGAGTTTTTAGAATAATTATGGAGCGAATTAGATACCAACCGATGCATAGCCGCATAATCTTCGATACTCAAGCATTTGTTTTCTTAATAACATTTTTGATCATTTTTCCTATACCTATAAAAAAGGACTGCGCATTCGACATATATTTAACAGACGTTTCCAAATCATTTCTGGAACACTAAATATGATACCTCACACTGATGTCATAAGACTATTTCCGATGATTCACGATTATTTACGACGCGTTTTCATTTTTGTTTCGTAGGTTGTTGGTGAAGCTCTACTGTGGACTTTGCAAGACATGCTTCAGTCTAAATGCACGAGTCAAGTTTTAGAGGCCTGGACAGAACTGTTTAAGTTCATAACAAAAACGATGTTAGGCGGGATTCGCTCAAACGAAGCTGGTGACGAAAAATAATATTTTTATTAGCATCGTACTAATTTCCGGATGGGCATTTTGCACACAATTTCAACTTAAGAGGCTGGAAAGTCAACTTTGGCTTTACACTTTTTCATAACAACTGAACTAGTTAACAAGAGATATATAGCTCATTTCGCTTGAACATCGGTAAGAACCATTACAAGATGACTTAAGGATCCTCTATCTCCCATCCTTAGCCTTGGATTCAACCAAGGGAATATCAATTGATATTCTCTTGATTCAATCCTTTCCCGAGGAGTTTTATTATTAGAAAGGTTCCCCATCAAAATAGAACTTTGATAATCCTATTGGTTTACGTCAAACATCCGCTCGCATCCCGCATCAATTGGGCAGCGAAATCAGTTGCCACAAGATCAGAGATAACAGTTTGTAATATCTTGGTTGCCATGGCTGAGTAGGTCTGTTCAGTTATAGATCACAGAAGACGTCATGATGTGGTAAAATTATCAGTGACTAACTCGACTGCGCCTCGTGTGCCACTTTTGGTGAAGAGATGCAAGGCAACATAAAATCTATTTGCTAAAGGGATCACAAACTTCCACTGTAAGAAAAACAGGATACAAAGCAGTTCTTGACCTTACTACGGAAGATTTCCCAGAAAAGATGAATAGCCAAGTTATGAAAGAAAAAGGAAACGAACGTTTGTATTAAATGCAAATTTGTGATTGGATAACTTAAACTATAACTTTGAATGTGATTAGTTGATTTAAACTACAACTATGAAAGTGATTGGTTGACTTAAACTACAACTGTGAATGTGATTGGTTTATCGAGCTGTCCGATAACAAACTGTCCGATATTAACTTGGCAAACCTGGCATTAATGAAAAATAGGGGTTTTTTAACCCAACCACAACCGAAGAAATTGTAATTTTTATGATTAACAATGATACTCAAGTGTCCAAATATTAGTCTTTTTTGAAGTGCACTAACATCTTAATTTGACGCTCTCCTGGATGATAATGACGCCTCGTCTTCATTTAAAATTAGAGAAATGTTGAAAATTTGCCAAAACTAGCAGTCTAAAAATCCTTCTCGTTGACTTATTCGTTTATTTATCTTATTATTTATTTATTTATCAATTTTCTTATTTACAGGATTACTTGCAGCTGAAAAAAATTGATAAACATAAAAAGTATCCAAGAATAATAAACCATGAATAAAACATGAAGCAAAGGACTCTATTTCACGTATTTTTTTCCATCTGTTTCTTTTCAATTCTGATCCATTTAACATATAGATACCATGTTGCCGTGCGTCTGTTCACTAATAGATCACAGATGACGTCAAAATGTGGTAAGAACAAAAAAGTGGCACACGAGGCGCAGCCAAGTGTGTCACTGATGCTCTTACCACATTTTTACGTCCTCTGTGATCTGCTACTGAACAGACGCACGACAACTTGGAATCTATTTGCTTTATATAATAAAGAATTAAAAAAAAGTTTTAATGATGACGTCATATATATGTTTGTCCTCCAATAGATCATAGGTGAGAACCAATCAGAATGCGTGTATAACTGGGCTTATTATATAATTCGTGATAGATATACTGCGTGCAAATCACTCCTTTATCTCCGTATTTAGACAATTGTTTATTCATTTATCTACGTTATTATTTGGAATTCCACGTAACATCGTTTTGGTTATGAAGTTATACAACTCTGTCCAGGCCAGTGTAACTTCATTCGTACATTTTGTATCGAGCATATCCTGTAATGTCCATAATAGAGCTTCACCAACGACCTGCAAGGGAAAAACAGAGAGAAAATATTTTATTCATTTTGGGGACGTATTTAAGCAACATATGGCAGTCTGAGGCCTTTCCCTAACATCAAGGTAACACGGAAAGCCGAAAGACTCTAGAACAAAAATCTATCTTTCATCAAAACTTTAACAAAAATTCAATTAATTTAATCTTGTGTTTTCCATGTAAGTATCTTCGCACCAATAGCGTTGTTCCATCTTTCTGTACATAAACCACACGCGACCTATAATTCCCCGATTGACTCTGACAAAGAGCTCGCTGAGTCGAAACGTCTGCTTTAGAATCTCCTAACCGTGGCCAGTTCACATTAAAACAGTTTTCAAATGAGTTTCGAAAACCAATGCCATAGCAATCACAACGGCAAATCAGAGCGAAGGTTGACATCATCATTAACCGATGACAACGAATCCAGTAAAGACAGGCAGCCAGCATGAAACGCGGGACTGAACGCGAGAGACCAAATCAGTATTGATTTAATTTTTGAATCTGATTGGTTGAGAAGAAGGCGCTAGTTGTCTGGACCAATCACAGAGAGAAGTGAAGCGAAACCAAAGCAATCATGGGTTACTTTTGGCACTGCTCTATCAACTCCGTTGACAAAATCCAAATTATAGAGCAAAGAGAACATCGGCAAAGAACATGTCCGAGGGCTTAAACAGTGTAGTTTTCACACCTTAAAATGTTCCTCCCTGACAAACCAAACTTGGTGTCTTCGTCCCAGGCTTGTAAGACTCTCCAATAACACCTCACCATCATCTAATGCATTGATAGTATTTTCAACAGCAGCCATAACTCGCTTGGCATGGAGATACAAAGACCGAGAGTTCATCAGCTCGTCTAAGCTGACGCCTTTGAATGTTGGAAACGTGTCTTGGATGTTTGGATGTGTCTCAAAAAGCCTAAGAATGGCAGAAAGATAAAGTGCGACAAATTGTTATCTCGCATAATTTAACCCCTCTCCACAGATGATCCTAATAGTTGGTAGTATATATTAAAACAACGAATAGCGTTGAAGGCAAGCTCTGATTGGCTACCCAAACCCCGAATATCCTTTGCTATGCATCTCTGAGCAACACGTGCGGGATTTTCACCCGAAGATATTGTAATCGTTGCAGAAATAAATGAGTTACAATCAAATTTTTGTGCCGTATCATCCCACTGTTCTGTACATACTAAAACAAGTCTTCATCTCAGTGTCGGTGCCTCGCACCTCGGTAAATATTTACTATTAGCCACCTCCTTTTGAATAGTTGTTAACTATGCAGAATTTAACATCTCTCTTATTGTATTTACGTTCACGCCTCTTTCTGATCCGAGCTGATACCCATAGTTGCTATATACTATGGGAACTGAGATTAGCTCAACATTCCCTCTTCGTTTCATATCCTTTACCCAGCTCTAAATCCTGCCATAAAACGGTAATAAATAAATAAATGAATGAATAAATAACAGAAAAATTAATGGATAAAAGTAAAATAATTTTCCTTTTACCTCATAAACATTGCCTTTCCCGCCTCAGATTTAACAGGCTCAACAAGTTTCCAAGATTCCTTCAAAGTGATTTTAGTTTTGCGACTCAAAGGAACAGAGAGATTTTTCAATCCTAAAGAAACTGATATTGGAGACCGGTTCTTGGTTGTTCCACGATGATGAAATGAAGCGGAACATCCCATTACGAACACATCTGAAGTTCAAGTCCTGGAGAAACCTGGAAGTGATTTCACATTATAAACAGACAATAAAATATTTTTTAGATAATAGATGTGGGGCGTAGCTAAATGAGTAGGGTCCAAGGCCACCCCGCTTTTCATTCTCCCAACTGAATCTCCTCCTTGCCTAGCCACGCCCCTAGGTAACCCACGCATCGCAAAGATCTGCAGAGAATAGCATATCTCCTGAGTGAGAAGGTTTGCCAGAAACAAGCAGTGCTGCGCATGCGTGGCGGAAAAGCAATTCCGATTGATATTAAACTAATAAAAAGCAAGTTGTCCCTCACCGTACTTCTTGTCTCAATCTTGGCACAAAATTGTATGCAGCGCTACAAATCTGATTTTTTTTTTTATTTTTCACACTCGTGACGCTATTTAGTGACCAGCTGTTGTCTACAATAGAAAATTGACTACCAATGAGGGGGGATCATTAGAATGATTAATAATGACCGACCCTACTCAGTTTGCATGTCACAATGGTGACAAGAGCTATTTTGCAAAGGTACAACGTCACATCTAGACTGAAACAACACTTTTACTCGGTAGCGCAGAAACAACCACAAAAGTCTGTTGTATGTGAAAATTTTAGGCACTGCGGCTTCTTCATCCCTGGGGGGTCTTCTAAAATATAGAAATGTTAATTTTCGTAACAGGTGCTTTTTAGAATCTTCTGAAAACAGTATTTGCAATGTCAAGAATCGTCTCAACCGTAAAATTAGAATCATTTGCCATATGAGTATTCAAAGTTTCTTTGGCATAAAAATACATGTAAAAGAATTAATTATTTCAAATTTATCATCATTTCTTCTCGATTAAGCGCGACGTTTTATAAGCCAAAATGTGAGGATTATAAACTTTAATTTGTTCATGTTCGTGTTGAACCAATGTTGAAGTTTTATATGTAATTGAGAGTTATTTACTTAGTTACAGGTACGTTATTAAAACAGCTTATTTGGATAAAGCAGAGGTTTCATTGAAAGCTGGTTACCAGCGGTGTATCGCCACTTGTAAGACCTTTTAGCGCCGTCTGTTTAGCTGCGTTTGTGTCTGCGTTTTGGGTTATTCGCTTTACGGCCCCTTCACCGGGTACAGCCGCCTGTTACATCATCGGCAGTCGCTTATGTAAAAATTTATATATTGAAATACCTAGTAAAGGGTTTGCTACTCAAAACTGAGAGCTGCAAAATAGTGAAATTATGATAAAATGAAACTCAGGCTTGATATCCCACGCAAATAACACCAGTACTGGGATTAATGAACCAGAAGGATATATATCTGACTAGCGTTTGAATCCTAACATTTTGCTGCAGATATTTCGTCCTGTTATTTACTTGAGTATAATATCGGTCTTTCTGTGGCGAATACAAATCAATAGTTTACATCAATGAAGATCTGTTAATTCAAAGACAATCCATTTTATGCGCTAATCCCTAACCATTAATGCATGAAAAAAAGAGTGACACTGCAATTAAGTATAAAACCCGCATGAATCATGATTTTAGAATTAAAGAAATGATCTGTAAAAGGAATAGTACATCAATAGCCTGGGATTTTTTAAAATAAAATTGGCATAATGTCATTTCCTTTAGGAACATTAATTCTTCATAGAAATGTTGGGCAATTTTTAATCCACTGGATTAATGATATACGACAAGATTCACGAAAGAACTACGGAATATCATTAACATCGACGTATACTCTGACACAGTTGGAAAATGTCTAAAACTTCACACCAAATTAACAAGTAAAGTAACTGTCCTCGCACCGAAAATAAAATCGCTAAAGGACAAGGATTTAATTTTATCTGTGGATGTAATATTGAGTGAGAAATTCATATTCGATGAAACTCGATGCAAGATTTTACTTACCTGAACTGAGTGCGGAAGACAATATATTTATAAACTGTCAGGATTAATCTTGATGTTTAGGAAAACTTGAAACAAATGGGACAAATTTTAGAATCCCAGCCAATTATACTGACACCATTAAAAGCATTAGAGGAAATGCGTAACCCAAGCGAAAATAACTTAGATTCTGCGACGGAGGCGACAGTTTGTTAAAATAATGGGTTTCTTGACAATCTTAATTGAAGTTTCCTATCAATTATCACAAAGTATTAATAATCTTCGAACTGTCCAATAACGGAACACGTTGCTAACAGTCTTCCATGTTTGTTTTTATCACCCATGGAACCAATATAGGAAGAATTGAAGCACTCAATGGTTTTTCTGCAAAAATACACCTACTTTTAATTTCTTCAACTGTAATTTTTATTTCTTTGTTATGAAAAAATCTTTGATAACGCCGTTATTCTTTTCATATTATTTTTCCGTAGAAAATCCGCCCTTCGATTTTCGACTTCGTCGCATTAATGTCAAGAAATTTAGACAATTTGTCAAATTTTTTGTTTGACTTACTGCTTAAAAGTATGTATAAAGACAGCTATGTATTTTTTTCCTAAAGCGGAGATCGAGAAAGAAGCCCTCATTAGATTTACGATTGCTTTCGTGATAAGCAAAAGAAAACCAATATATTTTATACTACTGCAAGTTAAAGGTAATTTTGCTGAGGTCTAAAAAATAAATTCGCAAAGGAAAAGAAAAAAAAAAAAAGAACGTTTTATAATCATAGCGTCTCGTGAGAAAAATGAAATGAACATTCATGCTTCAAAGCAGAAGATTTTCTATGCGACTGAGAAATAAGATCAAAGCCCGTATTCACCGGCAAAGTGACTCGACGGGAGGCCGTACTTTCAACAAAAGATTTCATTGAATAGAGAATCGGGAAGAAAAATATTATACGCATGTTTGTTCAAAGTGAGAAAGAAAAATTTCTGTGTTACTTTAGGTATACAAAAAAAACCCTTCTCTCAAATGCAATCATGATCATTATTTGCTGATTCCGATGTACAAGCAAATGAACAATTTGCTTGATGGTACACTTTGCAGCAATGAAATTATTGCTGTTGAAAAACAAACACTTATCTCTAATCGTGTATTGTGATTTTTATTTTTCTTTGATTTATCACAGATTATCTTTGATTAACAATCTTTATAAAGTCATGTGAGAAAATTAAGTAAAAAATATCGCCTCAAGAAACATTACATATGTATATACGTATATATATATTGTATTCGCACGATCATACCGAATGTTTACTATATCAATGCCTCCTTATTAAGTTTCGTTTTATTTATCCCTAATTTCATTATGAACCTTGAATCCAAATTTTGGCTGTGAGTCAATCTTTAAAATCATGTTATTCCTCTAAAAATCAGTGTCGATCATTCCCGGTGTGATTATCTAAATAATATTCTCTCTTTAAGATAAAAAAATCTTTATAATAACAAAAATGAACATGAAGAGTAATCAAAAACGCCTGAAGAAGACAAGATTTTTTATTGTATTTTCATATTGAAAGTTTTCTACATTAACGTCTTCCTTTTGTTTTGATATCTACCAAATTTGATTAACTTTGGTTCCGATTTTAGCTATGAGTCAAAATTTAAAACTGTGCTATTCTCCGAGAGATCACTGTCACTCCTGGCGTGGTCGTCCAAACAACATTTTCTCTTCTTTGCCTTGTTGAAAAGATGAACGGTTACCGGCAGAAAAATACACGCACGCTATATGGTATTAATGAGAGGTTACAAATGAGTCTAAAGTGCAAACAGGTTTCTATTCAGGGATGAATTGCCAAAGCAGTTTCCCAGCAGGGTTAATTGTTACGGTGTGGTTATAGGCGGGAAGCTATCTGCAGAGCGTACCACGCACAACGGAAGGCATTAAGGACTCTTGCGCTGCCTTTTAAGTTCTTCCTTATAACCCGCGTTTATAAAAAAAAACTGGAATACTACAGGCACCCTGATTGCTCGGTTAACCCGTTGAAAAATTGAAATACCGTGGCATATCATATCATATCATATAAAAGCAATGGACCACACTCTCTTTCAGTTTACCGGCGTAAAAACTCACTTGGGCTTTTGGAGAAGTGAAGAAAAGATTGCTCATCACTCGCTTTCGGCTCGTGATTATTAATCTTTTCTCGTGTTTTCTAAACGTCCCGCATGGAATACTGCACCAGCAAACCGATATAGTGCAGGCTATTAATACTGCTTAGCTCAACCACTCCTGCTATAATTTCTGTAGTCTTCCTCTTACTGTTAATTTACCTCAGTTACTTATCTTGTCTTTCGTCGCTCGGAATGACTGACTTTGACCCTCCCTCTCATTTCAACTACTAACTCTTCAGTAAAAGCTTTTATATACACTAACGGAAGGCATGAATGAGTATGCAGCCAACTGACATTGGAAGATTAAACATTTGTTATCAGAACGTTAACCCGTACAACTTCACTAGATTATCCCGAATTAGTAACAACACACTCAAGGCTTCCGATCAAACCATCGATCTTTGAATGCGAAGCCAAAACAAGAACATCGATGTAGATCCAAGGCAAGGTCAGTAGACAAAAAGTACGCCCACCAAAGGAAATTGTCTTTAAACGTAGTAATCAAGTGGCAACAGCCAAAAACAAACCATGTAAAGGAAAAAAACTGTGGCTTTGCAGGATCTTGAGTCATCGACTTATGACGCAGTTTGGAAAGCACTCAAGAAGTCAGAGTTGCTATTAGCTACGTCTCAAGCGACTCTAAGTCATCTTCCTTGATTTCTAAACTTCTCATACCGGTGATTTGTATCTCAATGAACACGGACAATAACTTATGAACTAACTGTTAGATATGATATACAGGTATCCTCGCAAAATTTTTGGTGCCTTATCGCCCGATCGACAAATTTTGTCAGATAAATAAAGAGAGATAAGAGTCCTCGGTCCACCGTCTAGTAAGCAAAATTTTAACAATTATTATATTCACAATATAAAATTTGGTACAGAATCATCTCATCAAGACTTATTTTAGATGACTTTGTTTAAACCCATTTTTCAAGTGCGCACATCATGTGGTAAATATTTGGGTTTTCTTCCCTAGCGCCCAAACTGTTCTTCAACTCAGTCAGCTAAGGTTAATTATTTTTTTTCTTTTTCCTCCTTATATTTTCTGTTGTTTTATTCCTGATCGAATGACGCTTTCACATTTGATAGAGATGGCCAATTTGTAATTTGGAAAATTATATACTCAAAGGTAATTGAGTAGAATTATGTGATCTTAATAAATGACATATTCCTTGTATTATATTTAAGAAAAAAAGAAGAAGAAGAAAATGAAGAAACATGCACTTTCA